ACACGGACTGATTGATACCATACCTTATTCAATAAAATCATTCAAGGGGTGACAGTATTACAATTTTGATGCTTATCTGTAATGAAAGCTGACTGGTGGTGGCATAAACATAGATTGTTGCATTTTAAAACTATTAAGCACAATTTATAAGCTTACTTTCCATAAAGGAATATCCCCTCTTGGTAGTCACTGTATAAAATTACCATCCCTTTTGGTAAAGTACAGTCCATAGTTCATCAAAGAACCGGGTCATCTTGGTGCTATTCATATGAAAAGCTGTGACTGTGTACTGTACTGTAAAAATGATGAAATTATGTTTTTTAACCTAACGATAAATAAAAATCTAATTAAAATGAATTTTTCTACTAGAACTATTAACTGATCTAGCCCTATATCTTATCAAACAAAATTGCTTACTTGGCTCTCAAAGATACTTTTCAATAACCAACTATTCTAAGAAATTGATTTTTTGAGCTTCCTTGATGGTGAAAGTTGACTATATAAATACTGACCATTTCTAGAGAGAAGACAGGGTGTATCGCATGTGGATCAATATATTTAGTTTGATACATGTTTAGTTTCATTTTCCCGAATGTTCCAACCACCAACAACAAACATACAGATATTATCATAATAAGGATAATCTTTACTGAGATGTACTTTTTAATTTTTAAAGGGCTTTTATATCTACTGAATTTTACCCTACCAATAACTCACTGACATCATAATAAGTGTATTTTACTGCCATTGGACCTTTAACACAGCTGAAATAGAGAAACATTAAATACCTCAAGTAAGAGAATAGCTTGTTCTTAACAGGAATAATGACTAAAACCAACCAGCTCTCTAAGTGTGGCTTACTGTACTCAGTTTTGTGTAATCTCAAGTTCACATTTGTAAATAGCCTAGTATAAATATATTACTAAAAAACAAAAACAAAAACAAGGGGCTAGCAGGTGGTATAGTGGTTAAGGCACTGAATTTCCACATGGTCCCTACGGTGCGAGTCCTGGGCCCAACAGCTTGAAACTCACACTGGGTGCATGAATGTGCACACTCAAAATCCCGAGAGGAGAGGAGAATGGAGGAGGACTGCAGCATGAGGGTGATTTCTCACTTTCTGTCTATCTCTCTGGTGAGTGCATGCACCCTACAGCAAAAATCGCTCAAAAATAAAAAAAAAAGCGCCCTATGTTTTGGGGCATAAACTTTGAAGTCTATGAAACTGTTCTTCAAAGAGTTTCTGATGTTTTCCATTTTTTCTATGGAAAATCTAATGATCTATAGAGTTTTTTTTTTCTTGGAGATTTTTTTTTTTTTTTTTTTTTGCCATAGGGCATGTGTGCTCACCAGAAAGACAAAGAGAGACAGAGAGACAGAAAGTGAGAAATCACCCCCTGGGGGGATGGCCACACCACAATCCCTTCTCCTCCATTCTCCTCTCGGGATCTTGGGCATGCACGCACATGCGCCCGGCGTGAGTTTAAGCCACCAGGTCTGGGACTCGAACGACAGTCGACTACATAGCCATTACGCTAACTGCTGGTCCCATTATCTATAGATTTTAAAGTCATGAAATCTTCCCACAGCCTTATAGGTGGTCAGAACTGTGCCATATTATAGGAGCCATGGGGATTAGCCTGAAAAAATCATGAAGACAGTATCTTAGGTTGGTCTTCTATCTTTTTGGAATTTTTCATGGATAAGAAGAACAGAGATCAACACTTCAAAACACCGCATGTTCACATATTCCATGGGCATACTCTCCTTTGAGATCTACGTCTTGGATACCTTGCTGATGCCACTCAAGTCACTAATTTATCTTTCTATAAGTTATCACTATCCTTCATCTTATTTTTAAAAATAAAACAAACTACAACTATGCTCCTACAATCCCACCGTTCCCATTATGTGACAGTTGAGGTTAACCATGTGTCAGACACTTTACCTATAGTAATGCATTCAACCAGCTTCCCCGTTTAAGCTTCCGCTCCAGCTGTATGCTCGAGTTGGCCTGTGCAACTCACAGAATCGATACTGCACATCTCTTTGCAAGTCTCTGCATAATGATATCATGGGAGTAGTTTGAAATTGGCCATGGTGGGAGTATTTACACCATGGAAATTGGCAAATATTACAAATCAGGACTTGACCTACTCCCTCTCAAGTGGCAGTTAAATATTTACCAGCACACTACTCTTAGTAACTAGAGACTACTCCCAGTTCTTTAATTCTGATATTACATGTACACGGTTATGATTTCCAGAGCAGGAGTTAGTAAACAAGAGTTTATTAAAATATAGCATCACCTTATTCTTTGGAATAATATTATTGAGTATGTTTCATGAGAGTTGTTCAGAAATACCTCCTATAGCAATTTAAGCAGTTGAGAAGAGAAATAAATCAATAGAACAAGTTTCCAGGTTGTTTAGGTGGCTGGCACTGTAAAAACCACCATAAAGACAGTTAGCAAAATAAATAAATAAAATTACAATGGACTCCCTGTTTCCTAGCAGTCTCTGGAATACTCTAATAATGGCAACTTCCACACAAGATTAAAAAGTCAATATACTGCCCTGAAGCACTTCTGAATCACAGAACAGAGATTAAAATAGAATCAGCATCATTTTATTGCATTGTAATATACGTTGTTTATCTGGAAACTGATCATCAGTCTAGGGATTTATGCTAATTCTCTAGGCACCAAAATACTGAATTAACCAGATGGCCTCATTTCCCTGACCAAGAGAGGTAAATTCACTCCACCAACTTGTTTTGAGCATTCCAACAGGTGGGGACATTTTCATATTAGTCTGTTTTGCCCTGCAAGGAAGATGTGTCCAAACAGAATATATCTGATAATGAATATAGTACTGTATAATAATGTTTATGTCCAATGGAACTGATAGGTTATAGACATTGCATATGAACATATCAAACTGACCCATTTCAAAACTTGAGAATACATAATAGTCCTCAAGAAACTTGGGAAACACGGCAGTCCCCAAAGTTTACACTTGACAGCTAACTAGATTACTTTTCTTTGATAAAACCATTTAAATATGTCTGTGTGCATAATGGATTGTAAAAGTCATGATGGGGAACCAGCAGTTAGCATAATGGCTATGTCGCTGGACTCCCACGTAGTCGACCCCGATTTGCGTCCCGGACCCGGTGGCTTAAAACTCACGCCGGGCGTGTGTGCGTGCATGCCCAAGATCCTGAGAGGAGAATGGAGGAGAAGGGATTGCGGTGTGACCATCCCCCCTGGGGGGTGTTTTCTCGCTTTCTGTCTCTCTGTCTCTCTCTGTCTGTCTGGCAAGCGCACGCACCCTATAGCGAAAACCCCTCAAAAAAAAAAAAAAGTCATGATGCATTGTTGCATAGAAAAATATGGAACAAGTAGGTCCTGACTTTTCTGACAGCAGTATATCTGAATTTTCCTTAAAAGACCTATATTTGCATTCAAGTCTCTAGAGACTATCCTACTACCACGGGCAGTGGTGAAGAATGGGGTGATGTGGATGAGACAGTGGCAGGGAGAGGAAAGGTTGACTCTCCGCAGACCGCCACGTGCAGTATAAACCCATACTCCCCACACTGTGGAGGGCAACACCTACACACCCATGCTTTAGAATCAAGTGAAAAAATGCGTTTAGTTGTCTCTGGAGTGAGGATGTCTTCAGAATAATGAAGTTTGGCATAAATTAATGCTAAAGAACTTAACAGAAGGAGATAACAAAACGGAAGCAGTTGGATAAAACATTCACTATTTGAGTTCCCACTGTATTCATTGTGCTTTAACAATTAGTTTCTAGTCTTTCAGTCTTTCGATCATTGACCTACTATATAAACCATCTGACTTAGCCTATGTGCCTCAATTTTATCGAAAGGCTTTTTCAATGTCAAACTCAGCAAGAAAGACGGCACTTAACTCAGAAAATGTGCCACAGATTTGTCTAAAAACTGAACTCACCTCCCCCATCTGTGAATGCAATGGATGTTAGTGACCCACGCTATTTAATAAAAATAAAGCAAGTGAGAGTCTGGGCTTCTCGTTCTGCTTTTCAGGAGAGAAAGAACCGTCCTACATGTTTGGGAGCAAAAGAGCTTCCAAACCAAAAGTGTTAACAGGAAAGAGTATGAGAGATCATGCACTTAAATATAATCTCCCCAGTTTGGAGACCTCAGAAATCACTTAGCATAATTTAATTTCCATCCCATGGACATATGATCTGGCCTAGATTGGAATCCCTCCTGGATCCATTTCTGTTATCCTGCAGACTTCCCCCCATAGACACGCGTGCCCACTAGATGGTGCTGTGGTGCCCCGTTCCAAGGCGGGTCTCACTTACTTGCACTCTCGGTCCTCCAAATCGAAGTGAGGGTTGAAGTTGATCATAATTCTCTGGTATGGGTCTGGAGCCTGAATCAGCCATTCACATTTTTCACTTGGATGATAAGAATGAGGATAGCCAGGAGATGTAAGATACCCGGGGTTTTCAATTTTGATAGTATCCCCACATTTACCTGCAATCAAAAAATGTTTTAGTATATTTTTTCTTGACAGCCAGGTAGGTATACTAACCTCATATACAAATTACTGGTTATTAAACATGCCATAACTTTTTCAGGAGAACTCCAAGAGGTCCCCACAAATCCTTCAGCACTAACCACTCTGCCAGGGAACACTCTTTGATCCCAGGAAGGGTGGCTCAAGCAAAGCTGAATGAGACCTGAAAGGACCCTCTCCACCCTCAAAGTTCTTTCCAGGAAAAAGGTCTTCTAGCATTAAAAACATTAAATCCCCTCAATTGATGTTAACATGTTCCCCCGGGAGCTTCTGCTAGACTTAATTATCCCCCAAGAAGTGTAATCACATTAAGTACCAAGTTCTAAGTGGAAGTGACTAAAAGACGCCATTCGACCCCTTGTGTCGGTGTTTGATGATAAGCCTGGTCTGTGTCATTGATCAGCGGGATTGTCTTCCAAGACTTCCACGGGCTTAAAGCCAAACCTTTCTTTGTTGTTGTTTTATCTGCCCGTAAATCTAAGTGATTTTGAGTTATCTCTGCGCTTGAGATCCAAATCAACAGAGAACAAAGTTGATTTGGTGAAGCAGAAATAATTCTGCTTTACTTCTCCAAGTAAAGTTGCTCAGGCTTGGAGATCAGATCAAAGCAATGGGGCGGAAAGAAAAATAAATAGCCACACGGCATTAATTCTAATTACCTAAATGCGGGAGGGGAGAAGCCCCCTACACCGAGGTCTGGGTATCACATGTGGCAAGCCACATTCTCCCAATCTGGGAAAGGTGAGCTAACTAGTTTCGAGCCTTTATTTCAAAGAAACCCCAAATGCTGAAGTGATTCACTGAGAGCCCAGGAAACCAGGCTCTGGGCTGCTGTACTGTTCAGTGTGGATTCTCGTTGTCACTTTTTATGATGGATTTCATCCTGGAGAGCCTCAGCCTGAAATGCTGCCACATTTATTGATGCTTAATTTTGAGCAATAAAAATTTGGTGCATAAACTGTGTAAGAAGCACAGGTATGAAAGCAATGAAATATATAAGCCTATCCATCACAAATTTTCAGTAATGGTATATATAGATTTTAATATTGCATCTAATAGATTCCCTGTGGAAAGGGAATGACAATCTTTGCTCTCAGCATGAATTTATAAATCTACAGAATTTTATTACAGGAAAACCAGGTCAAATGGAAATGAAAGATGAAGTGCACATCAAAAATGCATAAAGCTACATGCATTACAAAAATCATTTCCCATAAATTAAGAAGGAGACAATATAAATTACATTGTTTTGCTCAATTGTGAGATGTTTCAGGTTTTGTTTCATAGAGTGGGGGGGTGCCTTCTTAGACCCGGTCTTCTCCTCCTGGGCTTTTAAAGGCTGAAGGTTTGCCAAGAAGAAACGATGTTGCCTTTGGAGTTCGGAATCTCAGCTAGAGATCACCAAGTGTGTGAGGTGATTCTGCGGAGACTCTTGCATTATTCTAAATGTGCAGGCAACTTGGAAAGTGAGCCTGTCTCATTAAGTCTCCTCCAGCTCTGGGCAAACATCACGGTAGGGTCTGGCATCTGTTCGAGGAGTGAAATAAAACAGCACTGGTTCTAGTCACTCGACAGAGTCACTTCAGAAGACATTTGGGTGGACTTAGTACCACACCAGAGCTCTTTAATCTGTGACTTCTGAGAAAGTGACAGTGTAATAAGATAACGTGGGCTGCTAGACTCCCTGGCTCTGTGAAATCTCTCTAACAGTTGATTAAGAAAGAACAATTTCTAATGACTCTGGACCATTAGTCCTAAATAAGGTTAATGAATTAATTTAGCGGACACTGGTACTGGGAGGAGGAGGTGGACATGGCTTTAAGAGGTCTGATGAGTTACAGAGGTATTTACTGGCTCTGGTCACTTGGAGCATAGCAACTGGGCTATAGCTAGTCAAGCTCACCAAGGGAAGCTCAGATTCTCTGCATTCCCCAGATTTCTGCTAAGGAAATTGAGAAATTGTGTGTGTGTGTGTGTGTGTGTGTGTGTTGATTGTGGAGTTCAAAACTTAAAATAGAAAAGCTCTTTGCATAAAGTTGAAGTCTATCTTGTGGATGGTCTACCATGGATTCTGTCCTGGTAGTTGTGGAGGACAGAGGCGTATTACCGTAATAACGTCCAACCATGTGGGCTTTCAGCTGGAAGAGGATGTTCTTTTATTCCCTACCTCACTACAGAAAGATGCTTCCAACTCGAGTTCATTAATGAATTGAGCTCCACATTCACCATTTCTTGTGTGTCGTGCTTCTCTGCCAGATGCTAGAAAGATGCCTCCAATTCAGGTTCATTAATAAATTGAAGGCCATCTACAGTCACAATTTTTCGCATGTGTTTTGCATACCTTTAGGACCCTGCTTGGTACCTATGGGTGGAACTCTATTGCTTCAATGCCCAAATCACCTCAAAAAAGCATATTAGAGAGATTAATTTCCATCGTAAAGATGCAATTTAGATTCCTCTTGGTGTGAACTCCCCCACTTAGGGTCTCTTATTAAAACAATATACCAGGGTAAGTTGTGGATGTTCTTTTCCTCTCATTACTTTGAATTCTAAGCCAGACGGAAGTAAATATTTGATAATTAGCCCAGAAGAACTACCAAAGACTTACTGTACAGATAACCCCACACCGGGTCTTCACCCACTCTGCAGTGTAAGTCAAACATGCCTCCAACAGGATCACACTGGAAGACGGTATTTAGGTTACACAGCCCTGTTGATACCCCAGGACTGCCTTTCATTTACTTAGCTGGCCAGTGGTTTGCAGAGCTAAGTGGAAGCTGCAACACGGTTAGGGATTTTCAGATATCCTGGAGCCTTCCACTGTATATATCAGATTCCTTTATTGACACTAAGGAACTTTCATTCATACTCCAGCTGGATTAGGGACGGTTTACAAAGGCGGGGGAGGGAGTGCCATCCACTCACCAACTGCTATCTCTTGCCGGGATCCACCAGAGCAAGTAGTGGAGGGCAGCTGCAAGGGACCAGAGTGCTCCTGGTAAAGTGTTCATTAACTTTCAACAGCCATCAGATTTTTGAAAGGGAGTCTCATCTAATTGCCTTTGGGAGGAAACATTATTAAGATAATTGGTGTGCGGATCTGGGAAGGTAGGCAGGTCTGCCTGTAGCAGAGGTAGGAAAACCCCTACAGCCCAGCAGCTAACTTCAGGAGGACGCAAAGACTCGAAATCCTCCTGCCCTAAACCAAACGGATCTTACTTCCATATTTTTCCGCCCAGATAAAAGTTTCCTTGGCCCGGGAGGCGGGGCTCCCGGGCTCCTCCCGGCAGCTCCGTGCGAGTTGGGTGGCTGGGGCGGGAAGCGGAGCCCGGGCGGGACTCCGGGTGCCGGGGAGCCCGGGACGCCGCTGTCACACGCGCCTCCGCCTGTCACTTACCGTTGCGAAAAGCGCTGGCCAGAGCTAGGGCGAGGGCGAGCGCGGCGCAGAGGAGCGGCAGCCCCCTCTCCATTCTCCCGGCACCAGATCCCCAGGCAGACGCGGGAGAACCAGAACGTGCGGGGCAAAGGCAGCCGAAGGCGATCTGGACAATCCGAAGCGCTCCAACTCGGTCTAGAGCTGTAAAATCCGCAGCCGGTCTGGGGGAAAGCAGAGCCGCGAGGCAATGTCTTGATCCGCGAGAAACGCTTCTCTTTTTGTGTCTCAAGTCGCCTGCATCCTGTCATTTAGCTCCGGTTTCCTCTCCCTTTTCCCACACTTGTTCCTCTTCCAGGAGCCACTGCCCGGGCCATGTCTCAATAAAAGGGGGGTGGTGGGAGGGGGAGGATGGAGGTAGGGCAGCACACCAAAGCCAATTTCCAGAAAGAAAAAAAAATCCGGCTTGATTTTGGACCCGTAGGAGCCGAGGCGCTGGCGCCCAGGGGAGGTCCGGGGTGTCTGCGGGAAGGAGAGGAGCACGCAATCCCTCCCCCTCCCCTTCTGGAGCCCTTCCCTCGCTGCCTCCCTCCCTCTCCGCAAGGCTCGCCAGTAATTGCCTGACAGGAGACTGGGAGGAACAAGTTTCCCTCCGAGTGCTCTCCCTGTCGGTCTGTCTGTCTCTCGCGGAGGTCCTGCAGGGCACTCCACGCAAAGGCAGGCGCTGGGGGTCGGTGCCCAGGGCGCGAGGGGGATGGCGAGTTCGGCGCCAGCCTAGCTCGGCGTGCAAGATCTGGCCCCCAGGGGAGTGCGGGCAGCTCCGGGAGGCGAGGACCTGGCTGCTAGGAGTGAGCAGCGCCCGGGAGGTGGCGGCTGGGCCTCGCTAGCCCGGGTCCCGCGGCCAGTGCCCACGGCGGCGAGGAGCGCGGGCCAGCCTCCTACCGATCCGCGCTGTTCGAGCCCGAGACTCGGCCGGGAGCAGCCGGGTGACCCAGGACGCTGCGGGCGGGAACTGAAGGGCCGGGGAGGAAAGCCGGGCTGGGGTGGGAGACGCGGCGCGGGGCCGGGCGAGGACGGCAGTGTAGCAGCGGGGAAAGCCGGCAGACCTCCCCGGCGGGCGGAGCTGGGCGGCAGCCCTACGGAGCTGGGCGGCAGCCCTACGCCGCCTCCCGGCCCCGCACTGGGGCGCGCGGCTGGGTGTCAGTCGTGCCCGGGTGCTCCCCGCGCGCCCGGGACTTCATTGTTCCCGAGATTTGATGCCCTTTCCTCTGGGGCAGAGGGATCGCCGGAGGGTGGGAGGTGCACCTTCTAGCTCCCAGCCCCGCCCCGCCTGGCGGTGAAGCCCAGATGCCCGTGTGTGTGTGTGTGTGTGTGTGTGTGTGTGTGTGAAAATCACGGATCGGTGGCTCCAGTTTCTGAGCATCCCGAGGGAAGGCGATGCCGGGGGAGGGGTGCTCTTGCAGCGCCCTCCGGTGCCCGCCCCCGGCCACAGGCAGTCGCGCACGCGGGCCTCCTGCCCACCCGCCTCCCTCGCCGCGCGTCCTCACAGACTGCAGGGTGCCCCCCAGTCCCACCCCCAAGGGCTTTGCAGAAGTGCTCCAGGTGGCGTGTGTGGATAGGAATAGCGACGACATTTCAGGGAACGAACAGGTTGCCGCCACCGAGCGGGCCTGGAGAGGGGTAAATACCCGCCCACGTCGTCGGAAGGAGTTCGTGGGAAGGTGAGAAGGTCACACACCTGGGAATCGGCGTCTACACACACAGCGCCAAAACACGGCTTGAGTCCTACCTGGCGCCCAGAGCTGGCAAAGGACATTTAGGAATGTTGGCTAGCAGACTCTGGTCAAAGGTTTTGGCGGAAGAACTAGGGGCGGGCAGAGAAAGGCAGCCCAAGGCGCTCGGGCGCAGGCGGGGGCTCTGGCGCGGGGACGCGCGCCCCCCGGGGTGCAAGCGGGCTCCAGGCTGCGCCGAGCTGGACCCTCGGCGCCCACGCTGGCTGCTCTCCTGCTCCAGGTCCAGCCTCGCTTCTCCCCCGCCCGCGCCGCCCGAGTCCCCAACGTCAGCTGTAGACCTGGCGGCGGGGGCGCCGCGATCCTGCCCCGCCGGCCCGCGCTCCCTTCCCTTCTCCGCCCTCCGGCCCTCTGGGAGGCGAGGGGTGGGAAGGGGGCACCAAAGGCCGGGACTCAAATGCCTAGTGGAGCCCAAGAGGCGATCGGGGGCGGTGGGCAGCCCGGGTGCCACTGCGGCAGGCGGGGGGCGAGCCGGGGGCGCCGGCCGCGCCCAGCTCAGACCCCGGGGAGCAAGCGCGGTGGAGGAAACCCGCTCGCCCGACTACGACCGCACGCGTCGCCGCCTCCAGCCTCCCTCTGGCCACGCGCAGCCGGGGCAGTCCCGGTCCCGGTCCCAGTCCCAGTCCCAGCTGCGCAGGGCGGGCGGCTTCATCAGATTTAGGGTGACCCCGGGCGAACTCATTCTCCGGCTGCGAGAGAGAGGCGCCTCTCAGATCCTGGCAGGTTGACAGAGGAGAGGACCCGGGCGGGAGCGGCGGCGAGGGGGTTCAGGCGGCACAGCTTCACCC